ACGGCTAGGCTCAGGAGCGTTGCAACGATGGTGGTTCGGATGGCCAGGTTGTTGGTGCGGTGTGTGTGTGGCATATACTGCAGGGTGCTTTTCTTCCCAGGTTGCTTGACGTTCAAACCATTTGGATGACACGCGCTGTCACGTGTGGTGACTAGCGTGAGTTCCTAGAAAATAGTCCTCTCGCACAGGCGTTAAGTATTTCCGACTCATTAGTCATTTGACCTGCAGCCATACAGCTGACCTTCTCCCTCCGGTAATATGAGACTCGCCTATCTGGTTACGGAACATGTATGCCCTGTTGTGTCTTCGAGCTCACTTTAGAGTCCTCACAGGCAGGCTGCTGGCGACTTATGGTATAGTTTTATAAAGTGGAACCGATAAGTGGTGCAGGCCACATCACAACTGACAAAGCAACGGACCTCTGTCTCAGCGGTAGAATCTCACACTCAATGACCAGGTCGCGGGTTCGAAGCTCACCCGGGATCTGGTATGACTGGTTGATGACGGCTAAGTGGCCAGAAATGGCTATTCCAGTCTCTCGTGTCTTTGTCAGTTCCACTTTATCAGCAAGGACGTTTTACCGTACTCCCGACATGGATATCAGCTAAAAGCCCAGACCTGTGATTCGCCGATATTTCTGCTGCCGCATGACGCAGCATCGATGGGCTTCGGATGCTTAGTAGGTTCCGCAGCGTTCTCTATGCGGTTTCTGTTATATGCACTCCAGAGAATAACAAAGGGGATGATTTCAGAAACTATTAAGTACATGACATGGTGTTAGGTGACCAAGACGTTACCTTTTGAGGGTCATACCCGAAATTTCAATGAACATTTGAGTTACGTAGAATAACCACTTAATCCCCGTTCTACAAACGAGTAGTATTATAAGTAGTATAAATGATAAATGGTTAAGAGCCCATACCGCACTCCCGACATATAAATATTATGGGCAGAATTACATAACCGACAAAGACCAGGGAGACTGGAATGGCTATTTCTGGCCTATTATCCGTCATCACCCAGTCATACACAACCCCAGGGGTAGCCACCTCGTTAGTTAGAAGCCCACCGCTCTTACCACTGCGCCACGCGTTCAAGAATATGCACTATGGTAGATGGACGCTCACCGATTGGTACGGAACCCAATCGTTCCCTTATGCCTTGGGGATCGCTTCATAGGCTGCAGTCCTAGTGGAGCGGTTACTTGCCTTTCTCCTGCCCCCTACACCCTGCCGAAGCCAAGCAAACCTTGGCCTTACATCGCAACACAGGTCAGATTACAGAAGGACCACCCTGAATCAAAAGGCTTGCAAGTTTTAATTTCCCTACGCTGTGGGCAAATGTCAGCGAGGCCAATGGAAATTCATTCGGGGTGAAAGTGTGTCCCGAACGGTTGCGTATTTATAATAGCCGTCTGTGTTCCTTTTATATCTAGGTGTCCAGTCTTAGTCGGAGTCACCAGTTTTACTAGTCATTAGAAAAGACCCCCTGCTGTGCAAGCTTGAAGCGCCTTCTTTTGCATGGCAACTCACAGATAACTTTCTCACTGACAGCAACGTCTTTTTAAATCTGTGTGACAAAAAATTTGACACAAGTTGTTTCGAGAAACACCGCTGAGCTGTGTCCTTCTTGTCGCCCGGTTTAGCCCCCAACAACCATACTGTCCCCTTCGCTTTTTCGTTGGGCACAGGAAGTGAGGGGACGGGGGGGAGAGAATAATTTTGTTTCTAAGCTAAAACCAGTCGTCTCCAGAGTTCCCTAACGCGAGGGTTTGCTTCCACTGTTATAGGCAACTCTCCGGGACACACTTTCACCGCGAGCCAATTCCCGTCAGCATGATCGACTTTTGCCCAAAGCGTGGGGAAATTAAAACTTGCGAGGCTTTTGGTTCAGGGTGGTTTTTTTTATACTCTGACCTCTGTAGCGATGCCGGGGTAAGGTTTGCTTGCCTTCAGCAGGGTAAGGGGAACAGGAGAAGAACAAGTAACCACTCCAGTAGGGTTGCAGCCTGTGGAATTACCTACCTCTCGCGTCCGCTTTAAGCACGCAGGTTTTCGGATTTCTAAATGCTTCAGCAAGGCGTCTATATAAATAGAAACATTGGGAAGATTGTAGTTTTCGATTATAACTGAACATTTTAGAAGACACAGGTCGTCCTGATACCTTTTCATCTATTTAACGGGGAATTAAGTCATTTTCGTTTATGCATATTAACATGTGAAATCTAATAACAGTTTCTGTCCGATGTATTAGTCTGGTTACTGCTAATTGTAATCCCTCATTTACTCATGGATTATGCGGCCGCTAATTTTTCGCAACAGGGCCAACTGAAGTAAGCAAATCTGCCAGGTCCTCCTAACAATTAAGTCAGCCTGGTTTTCATTCTGGTGGATTCTAGGTGACCTTGGGCAGTCAGCTTGCTGTTCCGTAATGGTGGATTCCATACGAGCGGTAAAATTGGGCGGTTAAAATCGATCTGGGCGTAATTTCATTCACGGCTCACGGTGAGCCTCGTAGTTCAATGGAAGAGCGCCGGCTGCGCAAAAGTCTCCCCTGCTGGATTCTATAAAACGCAAAAATTGACGGGTACTGCTCTGGGGACGCAGTTAACTCGTCCACTCCGAAACATTTAGGATGGAGTGGCGCCTTGTGCTTTCCACCCGCGCGGAGTCTCCTTACTGATCTTTATACGCACGTTCGTGAAAGGCAGACTGACGGGCGGCCAGGCGGCCAGGCGAAGGTTTCAAAATGTGCCTGCTTCTGTTACCGCTTTGGGACTGCGAGAAACCGCCCAAAACCGAGCTGTCTCCAAAACACTGCTAAGTAAATATATCCGGAGGAGTCGTTTTGGCGCCTACTCAGCACTTGGCTGTAAAACCCATGAATCACCAACCAGTGCCTCTACCCTCCCAAGGGGCTTTTGCGACGACTTCCAATTTCGAGGATTCGGCTTGTGGCACCGGGTTATGGCCTAGCAACCGGTCGCACAACAACATTACGGCACGATTTCAGATATTTGTTTGTGCACACGCACGCACGCACACATACCCGTGTTCATCACTTCCTGCGCGTCTCACGCCAGCGGGGGGAACGTGCCATGAAAACCGGCCACCCGACACGTTCGGTTCTCTCCCTACAAAGGGGTCGCCCTAAAATTACCCTAGCTATCGCTAGCTAGGTCCATGTGTTCAGTGCAGGCTGCCTTTGTCCGGAGGTTTGCACGAATGTATGTACTATTCTGGCTTCCATGTTCTGGGGAGGAAAGAAGTTGCTGGTGTATGTATTACGGTAATTTTATCGGCTGCAGTTTACTCTCAGTCGTTAAACCTTTTACCGCCGTGCTAATAAGGTTCAGCCCGATCAACCTCCCAACTCCTTCCAGATCTCCAAGGTTGGAGGATTCAGTGGAGCGAAAGCGTACTCTTTTTTTATGCTTGTGTTCGCAGTTACATCAACGAATTTGGTGCACGATATATTATTCGACAAACTGGACGGGCTATAAAGCGAAACACAGAGCTCGCTCAACATGAGGCTACTCGTTTTTTGTCGGAAAACTTATTTCACCTTCCAGGAGATATTTGTAAACAGATCAAACGTCTCAGTCTTCGATCTGGGGCCAGAAACTCATCTTTACGCGCTAGAAAGGACTGTCTTCGGCGTCAATTAAATGTTTATTAGCATCTACAATAACATGCTGCAGGTTATCCATAATCTACTCAACTAGATTTTCCCAGGTAGGAGGAGGAAGAAGAAAAGGCACAGCAGGGCCCTTCCTATGTGTAATCATGCAGCTCAGACCGCAAACTCGTACACGGACGAAAGTTGGTCGTGAAACGGTGGGACGAAATTTTGCCTATCATATATCCCAAACTTAGCACGAGTTGATTTTCACAGCTGTTGGAAGCAAACCGAGCAAGGCTTTTAATGAGGTCTGTACTTTATATGATCAGTTAGTCAACCGACACATTGACCTACCGCCCATATATAGAATTGTGCACAGTCAAGTCAGACCTGTGGCACTGGTCTTTATTTGGTTAGAATAGACTATCATTCGTTTCCTCGATCCTGGCAACTCTGTTTGTGTACTTTTGTGTGAGTTCTGAAGTCGAGAACGCTAAAAAATGTTTCGAACTCCTTATGGATGACCCAAGTCCGCGATTGACCTACCCTTTGAGCTCTCTAATTACACGTCAGGCGACTAAATAGCCCGCTCCAAACAGGATAAGAAAACTTACTTCTGCAGACATTTTAGAGTTCAATTTTGGCTTTTTATCGGTAAGGCTGATGAATATTGGAAAGTGCAGTGGCGTGTAGGCACATATTCAGCGCTGAAAGCAGGGCAACAGTTCTGGTAATTTTATCACATAAGCAAACAAATACAAGGATTGCTTAAACATGGGTGTACTACAAATAAGCATAAGTGCAGCCTGAGGTCACTTGAAACCTCCTAATATATTGACGCTCTGTTCACCACATATTCCATCATCTATGATTTTCAAACTGCTTAAGTAGCATATAATTTTGTTGTTGCTATATTGATATGTAGCCGCACATGTTACCCTAGAGGATTGGTGGACGGAGGATACCTTAGTCTACTTGCTTCCCAAGATCCAACGCCTTTCAAATCATCCATTAAAAATGCATACTAAATTGTTTAGTTAATAATCAAAAACTTTGCTACCTATAAGTACAAAGTTTAGTGTGCTCAAGAGGCTACTACGTACCGTTAAACCTCGAGACTTTTCTTCACAACAACGTATATCATCGTCTTTATAAATGAAATTATTATGCTAAATCTAAAATTTTGTTATAAAACCCACAGGTAAAACGTGGACGATGCTGGGTTCGGACAAATCGACTTCCACTGCAGGTGTTATACCCTGTGCAATAGCCTGGCTTTTCCGTCTAATCGAAGACCAGAAAGAGGCCACAAAAACGCGATTCTCGGTTCGGGTCTCGGCCATTGAGGTTTACGGACAAAATGAGTCTCTGAAGGATCTGCTACAGGGTGAAGGACCAGAAGGTAAGGTGGATTTGCACAGCTAATGCGTCCCGTGCCAGCCTGCTGCCGTTTTGCTTCATAACAGTCTGTGCTTTACTAGTATACACATCGGTTGCGTAGGAGTCAGCTTTGCGTAGCTACGGTCAGCAAGGTCAATTTTATGTACTTTTTATAGCTCATCTTTTGTGGTTTTTAGAGCTAAGGCTAATTGGATTTTTACCGTTTCTGCGCTTGGAGCTGCCCGTGCGAAGTTCATTACGCCGGCTCATTCACCGGCTTTTACTACCGACGCACTAAAAACCATACTCAAAATTTTCCATAAATTTACTTTAAGTACTGGTCCGCATTCACATGGGCGAATGCGTGGACCTGGCAGTTTGCCTTTGACCACTGTAGCTTAGACTCGGTGGATCGAAACCGCGAGCACGGGAAAGAAGGGCAGACCGCCGACTTTTCGAACGATTTTAACCATGCCGTCTGGGAATTCCTGAGCATTAAGAATAAGCGGCAGGGATAATGCTTGCGATGTTTGTTAAGTTGAGTGAAGAGGCAACGAGACAAGAAACTTCGACTGTTGGTTAGCTGTAGTTTTCCTCCTATTTAATTTAGTAAAGATTTTCGGCGGCAAAGACATCAAGGTTCAGGGATGAGGGCGAACACTCTTCTTCTGATTTTCGAGTTCGAAAATTCACGCAAATCCTAATTTATCTTGAGAACGTGGGGATTTGTCACTTAGATAAACCACGAATCCAATTCATTGTATGGGCAGGAAATAGACAGGTTTTCGGCTCGAAGCTGAAAAGTCCCATGGTACATGGCTGCTGAATTTGAAGAAGCCTGCTCTAGTAGGTTACTTTAAATAGACTTGAAGTCTTTTGGTATATAGTCATGAAATTCCGCCCAGCGGCAACAATCTGACTCTCCCTACACCGTTTGCGATTTTATGCCCAACAAACCAATTTTACTTCCGTCTAACCATCTGTTTACGAACCTAAACGCCATATTGTTGCAGAGACGATTGCCTCAGTCCATCGGATGGGGTTGGGGTGCGGATGAGG